GATCGCCAAATCAAAGTATTCATCTAGTAGCTAGAAAAATGGAGAGGGTAGTCAAAACGGAGCATAATATTACAATTGCTGCAGCATAGTCCCTAGTCTGGCTCCAACCACCCGCTCACTACACTAATCCCTGATGCGCGTTTCGCCACACTGGCTCATCCGAGGGAACCGAGCTGAACGCCGGCGGTCATTTAAAAAGACCGCTCTCTACGGTGATTGGTCTATGTTACACCAATCACAAACGAGGGGGCGGAGAAAACTGTCGGTGCCGGTTTCCCACTGATCAGTGGTAAAACCGGCACGGATTGTAAATATGATAATTGAATATCTATGCTAAAGTCAATCCACATAAAGTTAAAAATATTAAGTGAAGTGAAGTAGAGTATGTGGAGGGGTACATCCGGACTTAATGGACACTGTAGATCAAAAAGTACACAAAAGTGTTAAGAAGTAACAAGTGTAGAAACGGTGAATCCTTGACAAAAATCATAGATAAATAGTATAAATAGTAATATGCATTAGAATTAAATCTAGTTAACAAATGTTACTAATGGGAGTAGCTATAGATACAGAGAGCAAGCTTAAGGGGTCAGAACCTTAAAAAAAAAAAAAGGGGGGTAGACACTAAATAATAAAAAATAATAGTGATAATGAAAAATAATCAATTATAAATAAAGACAGAAACAACAAGAAATATATAATAAAGAATAATGGTAATTGTTAATGGGATCTATTTATGAATGAATGGAGTGAAATTGAACTCCTCATTCAGTCCCTTAGGGTATAAAGTTTGAAACAGATAAATCCAGCGGGATTCGGCTTTGAGTAATGCAATATTAATATCGCCTTTCCTATGATTTTGAAAGACCTTTTGTATTACTTGAAATTTAAGTACACTGGGTCTGGAATCATGATTCAGACGTACGTGTCTTGCTATAGGGGTATCCATATGAGGATTTAGAATTGAATTGATGTGTTGCAGGACACGTCGACGTAACTGTTGATAGGTCTTACCAATATACTGTAGTCCACAGTCACAGGTGATTATGTAAATGACATTGGTGGAGCTACAGTTAATAAAGGAATTAACCTCTATGTCTGTCCCAGTTTTCTGATTACGCACTTTTTTAGATGGAAAGATGAAGTTGCAGGCTTTACAATGCCCACATCTGAAAAGGCCTTTCGTCTCAAGCCAAGTTGGCTTAGTTGGTAGTGGTTTCATATGGCTATGAGTTAATAAATCTGCAAGGTTTTTGGCTCTGCGATACGTTAAAGAGGGTTTACTAGTAATAGTATTCTTGATGAATGTGTCATATTGAAGTAATGGCCAGTTGCGATTAAACACCTGTAAGGTGTTGTTCCAATTTTTATCATAGGTCCCTATAAGTCTAGTGCACCCAGCAGTGGATTGAATAATCTTGGGGGGTTGGTGTAGGCTCTCGGACCGATCCACAGTTTTAGTTCTTTGGTAGGCTTTTTTAAGGATACGGTTTGGATACCCTAGATCTTTGAATCTCTGTCTGAGAATTTTAGCTTCTTTTTCATAGTCTTCAGGATTGGAACAGTTTCTTTTCGCCCTCAAATATTGCCCATAAGGTATATTGGCCTTAACGTGAAATGGATGAAAACTGTCCCAATGTAATAGACTGTTCGTAGCAGTGGGTTTTCTATATAATGAGGTGGCTATTGTCCCATCCTCAATCAGAGCTATTGTGAGATCCAAAAATTATGAGTGAGTACAAATTGTAACAGGAGCAAAATAAACTCCTGTTCCTGTGCATTGAATGTTTTGGCTTTTTTCAAAAAATAGGCTACTGCTGCTATGCCCTTATCATGTGGAATGTTATTGTACAGCGCCACTACATCTAAACTGGCCAGGGATGTATATGGGGCCACAGTAAGGTGTTCCAAGACTAGGAGAGTTTGTTTGGTGTCCCGTATGTGTGATTTTAATCCAGTCACCAGGGGCTGTAGTAACTTATCCAGGAATTGGCTTGCCCTCTCTGTTAGGCAATGATTACCCGAAACTATTGGCCTACCCGGGGGGTTCTGGAGATCCTTATGTATTTTCGGGAGACAATAGAAGGTGGCAATAGTAATATTAGACTGAGAAACAATAAATCTAAACTCATTTTGGGTAATGACGTTGTCAGTGTGAGCTTTCTGTGCTAAAGAATGTAATTCCACCAAGTACTAGTGGCGATGATGGTTTTGCCACACTCCTCTTCTAGAAATGCATCAATAAGTTATTTAACCCCTTAAGGACACATGACATGTGTGACATGTCATGATTCCCTTTGATTCCATCAGTTTGTTCCTTAAGGGGTTAAAGTGAGCCTATGGGATAAATGTAGACACAGAAAAACCGGATTATGTAAAGAATATAAGCTTTAATTTACTTTGTTCTGTGACAAATAATAATTATTTGACAAGTTCCAACTTTCATTGATCAGAGCTGTAGAATTAGTTTGTACTGTAAAAACAAAAGTATACTAATAGTAATTATATGATTTACTACTTGCCATCTCTCCCTTCACATTTACTTCTGTTTTTTTTCTCTAGGAAAAATCTTTGTTGTACTCCAAATGATCCTATCAGTCATCGGTGTGATGGCGTCAGCTGCATTCAATGCGATTTACCAAGTTACATTACATTGGTTTAGTGGATTCACCTTTATTGTGATCTTCATCATTGCATTCATAAGCTTTATTCCCATCAGGTAATGTAATGTTTAGAGCAGTACATTCAGCTGGCCTATCCAGCGTGTTGGTTTTCTTAGCCATCCAGGCTTCTTCTTGCATGGTTCTCTTTACTTTTATACAGCTGGTACAAAAATACAATGTCATAACCTTGTCTGTAATACAGAGAACACCAACAGTGAGCTGTTCTACACACTATCAATTACCAACTAACAGCATTTGAGATGTGTTGCTGAACACCTGTGTCCCCACTGCAATTCATACTATTAAAGGGGAACTGCCACATCCCAATTTTTCTTTTTTCATATTATGTTTACTTATACCTGTATATGACCAATATGTATTTTTAAAGGGGTGAAAAAAAAAAAAGTTAAATGTAGAATGCCGTCAACTTGGTGCCTCCATTTTGGCTTCCTGTCATTCATTTTATTAGCTCTGTCTTATACACCTGGCAGTCAGCATATAGAAAGCATAAAGATAGGAAATTAAACAATATTTCAGCTTAGCCTTTCCGTTCCTAAACAAGATAATTACACAGTTGGCTAAATCTTTAATATAAATGTAAAATAAAATAAATACTTCTCATGAAAAATGATTTACACAAGTCAGTAGCGGAACTAACGTACGTATAAGAATTCTTTTGGGCCCCCCCTATTGCAAAAGCTATATCCCCATCTGTCATAAAACTCCCACAATGCTTTGTTAGCTGGGGATCTACTATTTGCCCATCCTTACAGCATTGCACTTAGCACTGAGCACTTTTTGTTTGAATGTAAGCAAATGTGAGTGGATGTAGGGGTGTATTTAGAAACATAGAAACATAGAATGTGACGGCAGATAAGAACCATTCAGCCCATCTAGTCTGCCCAATTTTCTAAATACTTTCATTAGTCCCTAGCCTTATCTTATAGTTAGGATAGCCTTATGCCTATCCCACGCATGCTTAAACTCCTTTACTATGTTAACCTCTACCACTTCAGATGGAAGGCTATTCCATGCATCCACTACCCTCTCAGTAAAGTAATACTTCCTGATATTATTTTTAAACCTTTGTCCCTCTAATTTAAGACTATGTCCTCTTGTTGTGGTAGTTTTTCTTCTTTTAAATATAGTCTCCTCCTTTACTGTGTTGATTCCTTTATATATTTAAATGTTTCTATCATATCCCCCCTGTCTCGTCTTTCCTCCAAGCTATACATGTTAAGATCCTTTAACCTTTCCTGGTAAGTTTTATCCCGCAATCCATGAACCAGTTTAGTAGCCCTTCTTTGAACCCTCTCTAAAGGTATCAATATCCTTCTGAAGATACGGTCTCCAGTACTATGTACAATACTCCAAGTGAGGTCTCACCAGTGTTCTGTACAATGGCATGAGCACTTCCCTCTTTCTACTGCTAATACCTCTCCCTATACAACCAAGCATTCTGCTAGCATTTCCTGCTGCTCTATTACATTGTCTGCCTACCTTTAAGTCATCAGAAATAATCACCCCTAAATCCCTTTCCTCATATGTTGAGGTTAGGACTCTATCAAATATTCTGTACTCTGCCCTTGGGTTTTTACGTCCAAGATGCATTATCTTGCACTTATCCACATTAAATGTCAGTTGCCACAATTCTGACCATTTTTCTAGTTTACCTAAATCATTTGTCATTTGGCTTATCCCTCCTGGAACATCAACCCTGTTACATATCTTAGTATCATCAGCAAAAAGACATACCTTACCATCAAGACCTTCTGCAATATCACTAATAAAAATATTAAAGAGAATGGGTCCAAGTGCAGATCCCTGAGGTACCCCACTGGTGACAAGTCCAAGCTTCGAATATATTCCATTAACTACAACCCTCTGTTGCCTTTCACTCAGCCACTGCCTTACCCATTCAACAATATTGGAATCCAAACTTAAAGTTTGCAGTTTATTGATAAGCCTTCTATGTGCAACAGTGTCAAAAGCCTTACTGAAATCTAGGTAAGCAATGTCTACTGCACCACCCTGATCTGTAAGTTACATAGTTACATGGCTGAAAAGAGACATTTGTTCATCAAGTTCAGCCTTTCATCTGTTTTGTGCTTCCAATTTTGCAACAAACTAAGAAAAAAAACACACCTTATTGACCCCAGAATGGCAGTCAGATCTCTCCTTGGATCAAGAAGCTTTTATCCCACAAAGTAAAAATATTATGTTTTTTGAAGTTATTCATCCAGTTGCTGTTTAAAAATCTGTACAGATTCTAATAAAACCACCCCTTGATGCAGAGAATTCCATATCCTTATTGTTCTTACATTAAAACAACTTTTCCTTTGCCTTATACTAAATCTCCTTTCTTCCAGTCTAAATGTGTGACTTTGTGTTCTATGTAGAGTCCTGTTTATGAATAGATTTCCAGACAATGGTTTGTATTAGCCCTGCATATATTTACCTAAAGCTAGCATATCCCCTCTGAGGTGCTGTTTTTCTAAACTAAAGATATTTAAATTTGATAACCTTTCATTAAAACTAAAATGCTCCATTCCACTTAATAATTTAGTATCTTTATATATTAATTTTGTATGTATCTGTCATCACATTCTATGTTTCTATGGGTTTTTTAGTAGACTGCCTCTGTTCTTTTTCTTGTGTCGTAATATTCTTCTTTAGAACAGGTATCCACAATTGCACAGCAAGTTGTGGTTTTACCAGTGATTTATAAAGAGGCAAAATTATAGTTTCATCCAAAATGAATGACCCTTTTTATACATGACAATGGCTTAAAGGGATTCTCCAGTGCCAGGAAAACATATTTGTTCTCCAGGCACTGCAGGACAATCTAGTGCCCCTCTACCTCCCACCCCCCATCCCAAGCTGCTGAAGGGGTTAAAACCCCTTTAGTGACTTACCGGAGTCCAGTGCCGATGTCCCTCGGCACTGAGTCAGGCTCCTCCTACTTATCTTCTAATATTTTACTGGCCTTTATTGTACCATGATTTTGAAATATGGACTTATAATCATGGCCTCTGTCTTATAGCTTTAAAAAAATATATTCTTCAGTGAATTATAATTTTTTGTGTAAATACATTCTCTCTGAAATCTGTGTTGCTGAAACTTTAGTTTGATTTATTTTGATTTACTTGCTAGAAAGAATTAATAAAATCTGGTTAACTTTTAATATTCTTCTTATCAATCTTCAGTGAAACATTCTAATGTTGGAAGTTAATTTGTCAAATTTCTTTATTCTCTCCAGCATTGCATTCTGCAGGGAAAAAATGAGAAAAGAAAAATAAAGGCTGAGTCACAAGCATATTTATCCATCTTAGAGTTTACATAAAGGCAAGACATTCCTAATATCGTTCCAGAAAAAAGTGGTGGAGATCGAATAAACATATTTTTATTGTTAAAGCTAAATATTGCAGTATTTATGTGAAATGCATTGGCAACGATGCTTTAACCACTTTGCCTCAACATGAACTATGTCTTTTATTTTCTAAATCTACCCCCCTGTGGAGATTCAGAGCAATGATT